TTACAAAGCACTCACAGTTATAATCTCTTTATCCTTGCCACTTACTGACACCTTACCAGCCCCTTACAGACACCTTAAATCTTACAAAGCACTCACAGTTATAATCTCTTTATCCTTGACTTGTTTCATTGAAGTCTCYAGTCTTGATGGTAGAGGTTGAGGCATCTCTGTTWCTATTTTCTCRGGGGTTTCTGTGTCTCTAACAGGACTCAGGTCAAGTTCTATTGGTTCATAGGTTGTKGGTTTTGGTGGGTTCACRCGTGGTTGTGAYGTGTTGGGTAACACTTTGGGGTACTGTGCATTTCTTTGAGGTGTTTTATCTGTTARCAGATAAATAGATATTACCGTAATCATTAATGATTAATATACATATTATTACATAGTGATTGTAATAAATATCAAATGAATTGTTTTTGTCGATGATAATTATATTTCATCACATTTGTATCATMAAATTTTAGTATCATTTATGAATTATACAAATTTGTTGTACCTTTATGCCCCAAAGAACTGACATTTATAACATCTGTATTGCTATGAGACAAAAGACAAAACGAAGTGAGCAGATCTTTAAATGCCCAGACAAAAATTAGGATGATAAGTAACATGAACCACTCCACACCTCAAAACACATCTCATTCGAAAGTTCAAAAAATCATCTCCACACCTCATGGTTTGTTGTAGCACACAGTCTCTCAGATTTCTAAAATTCACTTTCCTTCATGATAAGTTAAAACAACCAATACCTTGATGGTGGAAGYTTGTTTGTTCTTCCATTAAACTGCCACATCAGTATAGCTTCACCCACACTTATAACTTCATGATTCCCTGGGGTGAAGAAAATTTGATTGACAGGATTGGAATGCCCAATGAATACCTGAAATATACATCATGTAATAATTATTATTTCGCACAACAACGTACATGTACATCAATTTCATGTCCCAAAAGCACAATAGCTGATAATAATATTATTGATTTATCACAAGTATGGTATAATTATTAATTAAAACTACARACCTGGAAGTTAATGTCCAGTCTCATGTGGTAGTCCCATATTTTTATAAGGTTATCCCCACTGGTTGCTAGGTAACGGCCATCAGATGAGGTATCCAGGCATGTTGAAGTCTTACGATGGATATTAGAAACCTGTTTAGAAATTATAGAAATAAATGAGAGACAAGAAGGAAATAATGCTGTTTGATAGGGAAAAATGGATGTCATAAGAGCAGAAAAGAAGGGAAATTGGAGAGTAAGTGGAAGAGAAGTAGAAATAAAAGGGAAGAGATTGGGAAGGAGTAAAGGAATGAAGGCTTGGAAAAAGTATGAAAAACAATGACTTGAGAGACTCACCTCACTCAGCAACATTCCRTTACTTGCATCCAACTTGAGAAGTCTATTAGATGAAGTCATTACCAATAGGTGGTTGAGTTGTGGTGTAGAGAATGCTACTAGAATAGCGGTGTCAATATAACCTTGACTTGCTATTGTTGTTATATCAACTCTTAGTACCTAAAGTTATAAAACAATATTGCAAAGTGTTCAATTTACAGAATSAACTGAATGTTGCTTTCTAAACTTTTCAAATTCTTGTTAGTACATAAAAGCAGTTAGTATTTCTCTTAAATTRCATTCAAAAGCTAAAAAGAAGAAAAACAATAAAAATATGAATGGACTTTCTAAGAAAACAAATGGATGATGTTTCATTACTAGGATTGAAAGATACAATACATGTCAAAAAAGAAAATAATAAAAATTAATAAAATTATAACAATATCAAAATTATTGATGAAACAGATATAATCGTATGAGGAAGTGGCTGATCCCATTAAAGAGTGCTCAATACACATAAAGTGTACTGTAGACTGAGCTTAAGTTATATATATATATATTATATGGTATCAAAAAGGCAAGATTTTGCTGTAACTCCGAGACAGATATATGAAGATTTTATAATTAAAATGACTAACATACCTCATCCAAGGACCTGGCGTCAACCACACATACTGTGTACTCTGTAGGACCAATAAATGCTAGCTTCATGCCGTCAATACTCATAGATAAAGCATTGGGACCCATGTCTATATTTCTTGGTGTCATGTCCAGCAGCATTCGTACTAATTCATAGTCMTTATCGTTGACTGAGTACATGGCAATGGCACCTGAAATACAGTGTTATAAAACAAAATCATCAACTATAACAAGCAAGAGTGGACTGTCTACTATAAATTGTCTTTAATACATTATTTATAAGGAAGAAGGTAAAATACATATTTCTGACTTACCCAAAGCCCCAGCACTAAACAAAAGACGTCCATTSGGAGAAAATACCAAACCTGTCACCCTYCCTTTATGTTGCTTGTGCTCTGCTACAAGGCTTGTAGCCAGTACATCAAAGACTCTAACTGTACCATCAGTAAACCCACAYGCAAAGGARCCATCAATAGGGTGAAATGTTATAACACAGGGCTCCTCGTCAGGRGCTTGAAAGTCATATARCTGYGTAAGGGTGTCCATATCCCATATACGTATAGTATGATCTGCTGATGCTGTTGCCAGTCGACGATGGCCTGGGTCCATACTCATWGAGTATATGATATTGGTGTGTGATCTCATTATTGTCTTGTATGACCTGGTAGAGGTGTTAAGTATACCAAGATTTCCCTGAAATATCAAACRATAAAAGTTGAAAATAGCAAGTTTGTGGTTTAAATCAATAAGTATTGTAAGAAGATGATGAGTGTGCGCCTGCTACAAAGTCCAATCTTAAATAAATGACATAAAACATATTCATAAAAATTGAAATGGGAAAGGAAAAACTGAAAATGGTTTTTATCTTTATTTGCTCATTTCTGTGAGCAACCCAAATGTCATTTCAATTATTCAAATCATAAAACATTCAATGAATGGATGTCCTACCATGTTAGTACCAGCAAGAATATGACYCCCATCTCTTGATACATTCACGAAGGTTATGGAGCCTTCATGTTCTACAAGCATGCCAAAAAAAAMAACAGGAAATTATCATCTGCCATTGTTAACAAAGTCCTTTATTGGACAAATTTGATAGACTGGGCTAGAATTAATTAATTGTGTTGACTTGAAATCCCAATTCATTCCTCATTCGGGGACCTTAAAAATTATGTCTAAATAGAAACTCAATCTTCCATTATTGTAAGTTATGCAGCCTGCGTGTTAATAGCTGCTTGGAGGAAAAAACAGGCCATGTTTTGGGTGAAGGAAATGTTCAAGTCACCAACAGCCACAAAAAATATGTCTAAAAAAATGTGCATTGGAAACGATATACCTGCTTCAAGTAACACTTTAGAGAAGTCACTTGCCCACAGCCTCAGGTAACCATCACTGGAGCCTGTTGCACAGAACAAGTCATTGACAACYAAYACATTGATTGACACTTGATGGTTACCATGACTACTGCCAATRGGAAGAAGCTTGTAGACACGATCAATAATGATTTTGCTGTAGTCAACTTGAAAAATGGATCCATTGGATGTACTGCAGAATCTAAACATGATGCACACAACAAGAAAGTAGCTGATTATCTAATTTTTTAACTTCATTAATTTAGCATTTAATAATGACTTGATGTACATCTCTGTATACAAATTATAGGTGTTMATATTATCATTACATTTTACTTGGCACTGTGCTTGTACCATGCTTGATACCAAAAGTAATGTCGGTAAATTCTACCCCAGAGTGTTGTCTTAGTTCAATGGGACATGAACGCAASGACCCATTACGTAGTCGCCAAAAACGGATATTTTCTCTTCCACAAGATATCATTCTGTTAAAAATGATAACAAGTTAGATGTATTTATTGTATAATGCTTGTGTTCAAGGTTCATCTTCTTATGATRTCACTGCATTGCAGTTTACCTGCTGTCATCAAAGTCGGCAATCCTCATGCGATTAATATSGACATCAGTGTGTGCTTTGGCAAGTAAATTGATTTGACCACCCCTGACTGACTGTGATGTGTCCCATACCACTACCAACTACATGTAACAATGAATATTGATAATACAATCAATGACAGAGAAATGCTTAATACTGCACATTTTATTTCAATGGTAAAAATCACATTCATTTAGCTGCAGAGATCAAAAGATTATATTTTTTTARTTCTTTAATGTCAGATGTCAAATAATGCAAACAGGAAGCATGTTTGTTATTAGTAACTACTTGTATAATCTACATTTTTGATTCACGGCATATACCCTATTGTGTTTACTTAACAATTACTCATACCTGCTTTCCACCAGAATCATGTCCTACGGCACACAAAATATTGCCACTGTATGACAGACTTAAACAATATAAAAGGTCAATAAATATAATATCATTTTATAAGAGGGAGGAAAGAATAACCAAGACTCACCTTAAGCAAGTAATATCAAATACTTGGGTCCTAAATAGTGAGATACACTTGCGACTGTGATATTTCCATATTCTAATCAATGACGGCTTTCCTTTTTGAGCAGATGCCAAGATATGAGCAGAGCCATCAAAGGCCAGTGCTGATACCTAGTGTCATACATACAGATATCACTTACAGAGCGCATATCATTATATAATATTTTAGCATTCAATATCGATATGAAATAGAGAGCATATACACCTGGCAATTCATGTAGCTTGAAGTCCAAGGATGAAAAAGTAAGATTATGATTCAAGTATTTTATAGCTATCCAATATCTGTCAACATGATTTGATGTGCAAACACTTCACACCTTATTTTAGACAATTCAATGTAATACAGTACCAATCGAAACCTACTTTTTGATTGCTGCTTAAGTACAGCAGCTCTATTGTTAGGTTAGGTTTTGTTTTATTGTTGGAAGACTTATCTATTGTTTGTCCATTGTTTTCTCAACCTATCATGAGAACCGTTCAAATTGGTGCTGACTGGCCCACAATTCAAGGCTTACGGTATTCATTTTAGTCATTTGTTGTTGATTATTACGCTATATATTGCCTATGGCTGATCACACATACCTTATCAGTATGTCCTACCAGGAAATCTTGTTTACCAGATGATATCTCCATGGAAACAATAATAGCATGGCTGGGGTACACCACATGAGTACCATTTATGTTCCATAACCCCTAGCAATCAAATTATTGAGCTTTTCTATCATTCCTTAGTTAGTTTATACATACTATAAATATTGATGGCAAGGATAGACAAGTTACAAGTTACATGTAAATCACCATTGTAACAGGATTTTAACCCCTGGATAAGGATTTATCAAGTGTATAGCGCTAATCAACCTGCATACATACCGGCCTCAGGATTAGGAAATTATAACAATGTGATTTGTGTCATGATTTGTAGCAATGACCACCATTTTTTTGGAACAAAGGATGATAGGAGATGCAGTTCTTGCATGTTTTGATGATTTGCAATTACAATAATCTGTTGTTATAGCAAATGTAGTATTATATGAATTTCATGGACTTTATAGAAACTTACATCCCTATAGGTGCCACCTCCAAATCCAACAATCTTCTTCAAGGAYAGAATAGGATCTGGCTTTAGACTCTAGATAAAACAATAYAAAATGTCATCAATCATTGACATGGTGGATTTTGCAACAATTGGATTCTGAATTCTSSCCRMAAGCTAAAAATRAAATRTCAAGTATGTTATRCAGTCRCCGATTATTATATTTCTTGATAACCAAAGCCTTTTTCACATATTGCAAGCATTAATTTTTACCTTGGATTTTTTCTCTTGTACAGGTATATCATTTTGATGGCTTAAAGAATAATCCTTGAAAATAAAAAAAACATTTTGAAAGTTTCTGACATTGATTTAATAATCATTTACTTCTACCAATATTTGTTTCTGTATCTTTAAAGAATTAAAATACACAGCTGTACATGTAAGTAAAATAAAATGTACAACTTTTGGGTCCATATATTTTTATTATTGGCTCAGTATTTGATTCATTGTGCTTAAATCAGTTCTAGTTTACARTTATAGTAAATAGTGATGAGCAATGAACATACCTTGAGCTGTGAATGGATTTTTTGACGAATACTTGGGCGATGAATAGTTGCATATACATGCCTATCAGATACAGGCTCATCAACATGGACTGGTTCTGTGATTAACTTAACTTCCTTATGGCGACCCTGGGATGAAATGCAGTCAGTAAACTGGACAAAGGAACACTTATCAAAGGAGAAAATATATAGTACTTACAAACGTCTTGGATTTTACAGTATCCTTTTTTAATGWTGAATGCTTTTCACGCTTTCCTTGTGACTTATTTCCACTCTCTTCAGACTTAATTCTTTTCTCTGTAACACTAGTAATAATACCAAGCCGTGTATTGATCTTGTCTGGTGGGAACCTCACATARTCATACACAGTCTGCCAGTCAGATCCCTTAGGTTGTGGRAAYGCCATTTCCTTTGGCAAAGGAATAACCCCTTCAGCAAGCAAACCAAGCTTACGTGCCTCTGAGGAACTTAATCCAGGCTGATAGTCAACATCACTAGTAAAAAGTCCCCTTAGAAACATGTTTGCRCATAAACGAATGTTCTTTACRTARGCAAAGGAGTGATTAAGRTATACRGATAAAATATAATGAAAATCAAGGACCAGAAGAGTCCATCKGCTTGTCTGTGGAGCTTTACCAACCAGGTCTAGAAGAATAAACATATTTTTTATTAGTTTTTAATGTATGAGGACATAGAATAAGAAGTCTGCCTCTATACAAACTTTGAACAACCCAGTTCTTGTAWTACTTACTTGCAACCTGTATATCAGATGAKGTTTTTGCTTCAACTGAAGTTGGTGAAGGGTTTGACACAAAAGGAAACTGTAGCCATGTTGAAGTGGATTTAAATTCTTTAAAGAGATTAGAAAATGAAATCCTAACAGCCGAGCCATCATGAGCTGCCACATCAATATGAACAACGAAGTACTTGGTTGGTATTGGTTTAAAGGTGAGGTAGAGATAYCGTCCTGTAAGACCAAGCGTTTGGGATGTTGTGCGAGGGAACTGGATGTAGTTACCAGGTGGAATTGAACCACTAATCCTGTAAATAGTTCCTTTGACTTGTTTGTCCTGTCACAGATGTAATGTTTTAAATAGGTGAATCTAGGATTTCCACAAGGGAGGACCGCAATAAGTCTTACATCAAAACGAGGTCTCACCAAGGGACGTGCACWTGTCCTGCACCAAACAGCTGAATTTCATTTTGTCACTGCCAATTATTTCAGATTTAATTCTTTTTTGGAAAATGTTTGAACAGAAAGCCTTTTCTTATTCCAGATTTTACTCTTACTTTCGAAAAAGTACAATTTAAGGCATATAAAACATGATAAAAAAGTTCTGAAGTTAAGCTTTAACATACCATCAACGCGCTTACGTCCCCTTCTTTGGTGCATTTTTTCCATTCACCAACACCAAAATGCTTCAAAATGTTRACGTAAGGATGCTGCCACACTAACAATAACCAAAAAAAAAACAAAACTAGACTTTAAAAACAGCGAAAAATGTACTAAAATGCAGTGTTTTCTTGGTCGCGTGTGGACCAAGTGTCAATAAAGCTGGTCGTTGCAATACTTGTTTCTAAAAATACTTCTATAATACTTACACGAATAAGAAATTGCGTTCTTTCTTTCTAATGTACGCTAAATACTTACGTTTAGACGACATGGAGAGAAATGTTTAGTGTATTAACAACARCAACATCGTTGAAGAACTTGTTTTTGCCGCCATGTTTTCGAAATTTCATGCTGTCTGCGCATGCGTAAAGCCTTGGCAACTCGTGGATCCTCTCATTTTGTATCAGTACACAGGTAGACCAGATTTTTTTTGTTTGACGCATTTGTCCAAGAGCCGAATCGGACTAAAAAAACTTTTTCTAATGTCGGGTATTCAATAGCTACMCCGTAATTCAAATAGGATAGTTTTATGTAGAGAGAAAACACATAAAAGAAGAATGCACGGAAAATTAACGCAGTTTTTCTTCAAAAGCTGCCATGAAAAAGAAAAAATAATAATAATACAAAGAAAAAGAAAAAATMCTTTTAAAAATGAAATAAATAATATAATGAGATCAAAAAAGGTTCAAATCGTTGTTTTGGATTTTTTATAAAAGAAAAAAATGGTAAAGATGCAAAATAAAATGACGCTGCACTTGAAATTCGATCCCCGGCCATATGGATTAAAGAACAGCGCCTTAACGCGGTGCGCCACTGTACCAGGCTCATTTACATAATAATAGACCACTTGACACTTTCACCGAATAGACTACCCCAATTTGACATTATACTTTCGATAGTTGCCTAGTTAGTGCAAGGGGTTATCCATCAGTGTCTAGGGGCCGGATAGCTTCTCCCTCACTGGCTTTTTAGTTAGCGCGAAGGTAGGACCAATTATCGGGATAGCATGGAAGAGCCGAAATCTCTAACCGGAATGTAAATCGATTCGCCGCCTCAGCTTCACAGAATGTCTCGGGGGAATCGTCCCAAACTTTTTACAAATTCTCCTTCACGGGTTCGAATCCCAGCACGGCCGTGTTCTTCTATTTTTTTTCTTTTATTCTTTTTTTAATGTTTTTCTTTCTTTTCTTATAAATCATAACATCATTATATCATCTTTAACTATCTTATAACTTTTCAGCTTTAATTTCAAATCTATGTTTTGACGGTTTTTACCATCTATAAGATATCTTTAATAATCATAGGTCATTACTAGCATACTRAAGGCTGTGCAATTGCAACAAGGATCATTCACTGAAGTTTTTGTCCCATTTTCAACGCCAAAACTATAAAAGCTTTAGAGACTATGCTAAATTATATTAGTTCATTCCATGTAATCTTAACTTCTTCCATGTTCATTGCTGTCAAATCCATCCCCTACAAGAAAAAAAATGACCATAACCTTGACGCAAAATGGTTTTATATATATATTGCTTCTCTAATTATCATCTTATTTACATTGAAGTCAACAAATGTGAGTTTTGCTGTGTGAAGGGGTCCTTACCGYGTTATYTAGTCACATCTATAGCTCCCTGGYGTGTTTTTACATCGTGAGTTCATTGGACATGAGTCGACACCTAAAGCACATTCATCAATGTCGCTGCATCGCGATGCTGATAAAGGAGGCGATGGAGAGTAGCCTTTGTTACAATAGCACAGATACGAGCCGTTTGTGTTATTACACCTGTGAAAAATGAGCTTTGGTTGTTAATGCTCTGCACATMTGTGAGCTATTTATCATTTCATCGAATAGAAAATAGGAAAATGTCGTGTTTACCTTGAATTTGAAGGACATGGATCCACAAGACACTCATTTGCGTCGGTACAGGAATGTGGTCCACTATTTAACCAACCTTTCATGCATTCACATCGATATGAACCAACSGTATTAACACAACTCGACACWGAAGGGCACGTGATATTTGACATGAGTTGACACTCATCAAGATCTTTGCAAATTGGCGTRCGTGGGTCAGAGGCTGGATCAGGATACCAACCTTTGTTACACGAACAATTCCAGCTACCAATAGTATTCAAACACGTGGAGTGGACATCACACGCGTGTATTCCACGCGCGCAYTCGTCTATATCGACGCACTCGAACTGTGAAAGCTTTTTGTATCCTTGGTCACAATCRCAATCGTAGCTTCCTGGCGTGTTRGTGCATTTAGCATTAGAAGGACATTTGTGTGATACTTCGCTGCACTCATCGATGTCTTTACAAACGGGGTAGTCACCATAACCTCGCCATCCTGAATCGCACTTACATCTAAAAAATAGATGAAGAACGCAGTGTTGTTACCCGAGATAAACGTAATAAACCTTTGTCTGTACTAACAACATACCTGTATCCCCCCGGATAATTCTCACACTTTGAGTGATCATTACACACTCCACCATATTGACACTCATCGRTATCATAGCAACGCTTTCCATCAAACGACCAACCAATCAACGAWGGACATTTACAGCGGAATGACCCTAGTGTATTTATACAAATTGCTGGAGGAATACAATCATGTRATCCCGTGGTRCATTCATTGATATCAACACAGTCCAACGTGGTGCWATCCCACTGATATCCCTTATGGCAGTCACAAGGAGAGGGGTTGGAATGGTTCTTTGAGCAGTCACCGTGCTTACCACAAACAGAGCCATCAATGATTGGACAAGCTGAAACGCAAATATAGTCTTTAATCATAACGTAACGRAAAGAAAAAAACACAGAATGCATCATGGTGAAGCTACACCGCTGCTYATYAAAWTGTACTCTGCTCACAGCGGATCTATTTTGTTTACATGTTAAGAATTTATCTTGCTTACTTGTACTACAATTTCTTCCTGTGTAGCCCTCCTTACAGAGGCATGCGTTGTTTGAATAWGAGGACAAGTCGTAGTTACATTGACCAAGATTACTACACAACTGATATGAACTACACACACTACAGTCATTTGGTGAAGATCTCCACCCATAATCACAYGAGCATGTCCCATWGGYATCACACGTTCCATGTCCACTACAACGTTTGACAGGTCTACATAGAGAGCAATCTCGGCCTCCGTAGAAAGAAAAGCAATCACAAGTTCCATCTCGAAGGCACTGTCCGTGACCAGAACACATTTCGTTGGAATCGCACCCTGAGCATCKTCCGTACGGCTCGAACCACTGCCTGACCCAACCTCTATTACAAGTGCAGTTGTATCCTCCTTCGGTGTCATTGCAGTACGAATTCTCAACACAYGTGTGAGTTCCCAGTAGGCATTCGTTGATATTGGTACAATTATATCCATCGCCGGTGTACCCATTGTTGCAATCACAAGTGTACGTGCCTGGAAGGTTGGAGCACGTGGCATACTTACTACAGTCACTTCCATTCAAACATTCATTAATATCATTGCACTTYATACCATCTCCTTCATAACCAGCAGAACAATGACAGATATACCCTCCAACAGAATTGCTACATGTTGCTTTSATGTGACATTTGTTTAGAGTGCTATTAGAGCATTCATCAATGTCATCACAARTCGACCCGTTACCAGAGAAACCTTTATTRCACTGACACAAATAGCCACCTTCGAYGTTGATGCACGTTGCATTRCYGTCGCAATTGTATKTTCCTTGTTGACACTCGTTKATATCACTGCAGTTTTTYTGGCCRTTACCATRAAACCCAGCACGACATGCGCAGATATATGAACCAACTGTGTTAGTGCAWGTAGCATTTGGATGGCATGCATTGGTATCRAGGCACTCATTCTCGTCGTGRCAGTTTTGTTCGTYTTTGYCACTGTAGAATCCAGGATTGCATATGCATTGATATGCTCCYGGAGTATTAAAACATGAAGACCCAGGTTCGGAACAGTTATGCCTGAATATTGAAGGTACTAAGCTACTGGAGTTTGATGAATTGAACATCATCGTCCAAGGGAAAGATAARAYTGTGGTGGTCYTATTAGTTTTGTCRGTCTTAATCTCGAGGTATGATTCAACACAYGAAAGTTCCCTGGGGTTATCCTTGTCACATGAACARACTARACTCATGTTGTTAGAATSGTTTTCMAGTCCTTGATGAAACAAGCAAGTTTGAACTGACGAGCAGATACTAGTATGACATTCCTGTAGTCGACCCGATATMTGKTTCATCAAAGTACCATCGCATTCATTAACTTCRAAACACATTCCTCCATGTTCAWAGTAYCCTTCCTGGCACTTGCAACCATASGAACCAATGGTGTTGAAACAGATACCATTATCTGGACATGGGAAGKTTTCTGGGTCSAGGCACTCATTTCTGTCTATACATCCWGGRCCGTAGGGGTCCTCAATATACCCCATGGGACACGCACAATAGTGTTTTGACCCAGARGCTACGCAAGTTTTATTTGGATGRCATGTTATGTTACTGGCGTGACAAGGATTGAATGCGTGACAGGTTGAGTTGCTCACGGAATCGCACTGGCATTCGTAGCTTCCTAGAGTGTTGATACACACTGGTGCGTCAGGCRGGCAMTGAAATAACTCCCATTTACACTCATCGACGTCAATACATTGTCGACCTGTGTTGTTGTRCGCKCCAATACACTTGCAAAATTCGTCTTTTGGGTCATGGCTTAGGTAATGCAGACTAAGATTGTAAAAAGTTGAATTTTCAAACGATGACAAGTCTTTGCAGCTGTAGCTTGAACACACTCTACCAATGTCTTCAAAACCTTCTCGACAATCGCAGGAGTAGCTTCCATTAGTGTTGGTGCAGGTGGCATACTCACTRCATTTATCGATCCCAAGTGCGCATTCATTGATATCACTACACGTTTTTAAGCCAGTTCCGTTGAATACCCAGCCATTCTTACAAAGACAAGAATAACTTCCGAAAGTATTTTTACAGATCTGATTTTCTTCACAAACATTATCTTGATCGCATTCATCTTTGTCAATACAATACCAACCATCACCGATCCACCCAGAGTTGCACGAGCAAGTGAATCCACCAGGAATGTTCACGCATTGTGCATTTCGGTGACCATTGACCCTAGAACAGTTGTCAATCTCTTCCAAACATTCATCAATGTCAGTACACTCTGGCCTGAGAAATTCTGGACTATTGCAACCTAAAGTGTATTTTTGTACTTTTACATCGTTTGTGCTTCTCCACCCATCCTTACATTCGCAGTTGTAGCTRCCATCTGTATTAAAGCACTTTTCATTGGCACAGCATTGATGACTG